GAAAGAGTGCCCTCTTGTGGTTACAAGTCATGTCAGGAAAGAGGAAAGCTGCTTTCTTCGTCCTAAGAGAGGCTTTTTCAAACTGTGTGAGTTTCACAACTTGAACATGAGCATTTTCAAAACACCTTCAACATTCTGCATGTCTCTTCTCACTGCAAAAATGCTCTAGTCATCACTATGGTGACCAGATGACCACTTGCCTCATATAAACAGATGTTTACATAGATATGGATGGACCTACACACTGCTTTAATGGGGGTGCTGAAAATCCCTCTTGATTCAGACCTGTGCTGCATCCTCTGGTTTGCCTGCAGCTTGGCAAAGAAAAGAGGTGGACAAAAGACAAGGACTTTTGGTGATATAAGGTCTTAATGTCCTCATCTATCTGAGATATCTTCTGAGATACCCTGTTGTGTTAGGATCTACTTCCACAGCAACTTGAGAGTCTTTAACTTTTCCCATGTTTTTGTTCAAGAGCTCCATAGTTACAATCTTTTTCTGAAAGCACATCTTGACAGTTAACTGTATTTCCTTTTTTTTTGCCACCATCAGTTGGGAGAGTTGAGAGTTTGGTCTGGGAGAGCTGTGTGAAGGGACAGATGTGAGAAGGTATAGGTATGTAGATTCGATTAAAACTTTTCTTTTGCTCAAAGTGAAAGTTTCCACCCTATTCAGTCTTTCATGCCAAACTGCCTCAGAAGCATGAGTAACTGAAGCAACATCCTCCACTCTGAGAAACACATCTATGTCTCTGCCAAGTAAAAAACCAGCAGCAATGGGGTTATGATGCATTTTCAGGTCAGCCGTTGTGTCTTTGCTGACCTATCCTGCAGCTTCAGAAATATATAGTAATCCTCAACATATGATGAATGTACAAGGCAGACCATTTCAGACAGACATGAGTGAAAATGACTCTGGTTTATGCCAGAGGCAGAATCAACACCAAAATGGCTCAAAACCCAGGGCAACCATCCATCTACTTTCACCTCTGTCAATAACACTGCCTAGCAAGAGCTGGTGTTTGAAGCTGAAGGCTTTGTGGCATCACCTAAGAGTTAGCCAATGCTTTTCATGAGGGATTGAGATCTTATCCAGTCAAAACTAAGTATGGCAGGTATGGCCAACTCATTACAGATAAATAATTGAGTGTCTTTCTGCCTTTGAAAAAATCTTTGGAAATAGAATCATAGAATTTAGGGGTTGGAATGGACCTTACAGATCATCTAGCCCCAACCCCCTCCCCTGGGCAGGGACACCGCCTCACTAGATCAGGTTGCTCAAGGCTTCATCCAGCCTGGCTTTGAACACTGCCAGGGTCAGGGCAGCCACCATGTCCCTG